ATGTTGATCTTGTGCACTATGCCAGACAACTGAACAAAGTTTGCATTGTACGATGTCAGTTTAAGATCATGAGAATCCACTCTCTTTCGTACATCGATAATTTCGTTGCTGAAGCCAGCAAGGTAATTTCGGATTTTTTCACCGTAATTATCGAAAGCAATCTCGAAATCTAACTTTATTTGCGATATAACTTCATCCACATATTGTTTGTTTGCAAACATTTGTTGTTGGCAGTTTTACGTTACACATCTTCAAATGACCAACATCAATATCACCGGTTGGAGTATGTGAAAATCCAGATCTGACTGTCACCATCTGAGCTGAGCGTGGAAAGGAACCACGTCCGAATTTGTCGAGACTCATTATGCTAATGACTAAAGTATTGTACGTTATCGATAATGGTCGGCACTTTGCCTCGCCAATTAGCTCCGTCACTCATAGACATGCCATGGACGTGTCACGGAACTGTCGCGGAAGTGTCAAGGAAGTGTCACGGAACTGTCACGGAAGTGTCAAGGAAGTGTCACGGAACTGTCACGGAAGTGTCAAGGAAGTGTCACGGAAGTATCACGGAACACGGAAATGTCACCGAATCGTCACACATGTTTTATTATGCCTGCCTCTTTTAATTCGTTCAAGATGGCAACAATCTCGTTATCGTTTGATGTATTTCCGGCTTGCTGTGATGCAATGAGCAACTTCAATCTATCTACCAATTCGTTTGGATCATCCCAATACATGTATTCGATAGGTGCTGTGTTGTATGTCAACTTCAAACCACGACCACTGGAATTGGATCTGAACATTGGACGAATAATTTCTACGTATTTGAGTCTAGAGGAGGACTTCATACGTCCTGCAGAATTCAGATGAGCTTTGGTGAGCAAGAGTATTTGCTTGTATGGGTTCGTATCATCTTTGGCAAAAGATGGATCATTATAGAAGAGTAATTGATAGAGGCCTGGGGTGCCACGGAACCGAAAGCCATCAAGAAGTATATATCCAGTTCTTCGATGGAAATTCATTTCTTTTCCGTTGAGGGACCATCTCGATGTTACTGGATCATATTTGGGGCCATAAACCGTATCGATATTTTCATCATTTGTCCAATATTCAGTCAGATATTTTTGAGCTATCGCAGGATACTGATCAACGTAATCATGTATTGCAGCCGGTGAGATATTTTCACTATCTACAAGAAGTTCATCATCAGCATCGTCATAACCATCCTCATCATCATCTTCAGAATGCCCAACATTATCAGCCACATCCATCATAGGTATGAAATTAGTTTGGTTCAAATCCGATTGCTCCCTCTTCACCTCCCCATCCTCTTCATCCTTCTTCTCCTTCTTCTTCTCCTTCTTCAACCCCAACGACTTTGCTCTGCTTCGCTTGATGTTTGAAAGCGTTCCATCGAGTTTTTCTTCTATGACCTTGGACGCGGAGGCAATTTGTTTCAAAGGTGATGTCAGTGGTTGGAATATTTTCTGTAACGCATCATCATCCTCAGACTTGCCCAATTTTAGTGCTTAATATTTTCTTCTGATTGATTTCGATAGTTCGTTGATTTTTTTCTTGCGCAGCGCATCAGCAACATCATCATGCATCTTGGTTGACGTCATCTTGATGAATGGTCCAGAGATCACAGTCTTATGAACTTATCGAAACCATTTCTATATCTGCCAGCATTCATATCGAAAGTCTTTGCAATCACCATCGCACCATATTGGTTGGAATTCCAACACTCTGAGCACAATGCTTTAAATTGATCGAATGACAAGTCTGGTGAGACATGCTCGTCGAACACATGCTTCAAATTCATTTCATCCTGTCGAAATAACACCAACAGGTTACTGTTGTCTCGCACCAGCTGCTTCGGTAGCTTAGAAAAAGTCTGGCATAGGTATGCTACGTCAATATCCTTGTGTCTACACATTGAAAAATATTCTCGAATTTTTTGCTGCTTGTCGCATGATACATCATCAAAAATGAATATCGAATTATTTTTCGCTTCTGATGGACTGATGACATCATCATTTTCTTTAAAGGGAAAATACCCAACACCTTTCACTGAATCCAACACTTGTTGAAGCAATTGATATTTCGGTTGGTACAACGACTTTGAATACACGTAATCGTTCTTGAATTTCACGCCATTTGGATTGAACAGCAGGGAAAGCATCGCATTGGTCTTTCCACATCCGCTTGGTCCGCAGAAGATTGCTCTGAACGAATGGGGAAGCAGTTTCCCATGTTTACTATTTACTGGGGGTTTGGTTGACAAAATTTCATCCAAATTCATAATGGGTAACATCCGTTCTTGTTGAATGATCTTCATCATGTGATGATATATTTTTCATTTCATTAGGTATATGCAGAGTTGTCGAACTTCCTACACATCAGTCTTCATGTTGCTCTACCACGGAGAGGGTGTGCTTAATTCTCTGATCGATAAACTTCCCATCGAATTACACATTCCAGGCTACAGATTTTGTGGTCCAGGTACCAAACTCGATAAAAGACTTGCAAGAGGAGACACCGGTATCAATCCGTTGGACGACGCGTGTCGAGTACACGATATCGCCTATTCACAAAATTCCTCAATAGAAGACAGGCACAAAGCTGATTGGATATTGGAAAATAGAGCGTGGGAGAGAGTCAAGTCGAAGAACGCTAAATTCAAAGAGAAGGCTGCTGCTTGGCTTGTCACCACCGGAATGAAGGTCAAACGAAAACTTGGCATGGGTCTTGTATCACAGCAATCCCTATCCAACATTATCAAATTCATAAAAAATGTACTATCAAAGTCAGATGGTGGTGGTAGTACAACATCAGGAAGTGGTCTGAATAAATCTGCATTGAAAGCACTCCATGCAGCCAGAATGGCAATCAAGAGGGCTGGCGGTAAAAAAAGAATCAGAGTACCAAGAATCATACCTCTTCCACACAGTGGCAGTATACTACCATTGATACCAATCTTTGCCGCCTTGGGAGCCCTAGGATCTCTAGCTGGAGGAACCAGAGCAGTCGCAAAGACAGTCATTGATGCGAAAAATGCAAAGAAAAAGCTCGAAGAAGATCAGAGGCATAATAAAGCAATGGAGGCTATCGGCAAGCAGGGTTCCGGCCTATTTCTACGCAAAACATCCAGAGGATTCGGACAATCAAAAAACTCAAAAAACTTCTAGACAAGCTACCCAATAAATCAATGTACGATAAAGATGTGATAAAGTATGCCAAACAGCTGTAAATACCGTATTTTCGAGGTGTTTTTATGCGGGACACTCTACCTTCCACCGGTCCATGGCATCGCGAGTGTGCTGTATTGAATTTGGATACCTCCAATCATGCGGGCACTCATTGGGTGGCTTACATAAAAAATGATAAAAAAGCCTTATATTTCGATAGTTATGGCAATCTGAAACCGCCCAGAGAATTGGCGCAATATTTGGGTGCCAGCACGAAAATCTTGTACAATAACAATCAATACCAGAATTTCAATCAAAGTAATTGTGGACGTCTATGTTTAGAATTCCTTTTTAATGAGACCAAGTAACTCGGTCATTGTGCATCAGTCATGTCTCTGATTGTGACGTTGAAAGGTCGTACATCTACGCTCTCCATAGACTTTTTGACACCACTTCAACTCGATCCAGACTCTGATTACGGACTAGCATTGTTGAGATTCCATTCATACAACAGTATACCAAATATCGACAAAGGATCAAAGTTTTATCTACAAGATAAGACCAAGGCGGCAAAGATCATCGATATTCCCGAAGGTTCATACGACATTGTGGACATTGAGACATTCATACGCAAAGAATTGGGCATCTCAAGTGCAAAGGACGTTGATGATATATTCTCGTTGAAGTCCACAATAATACACTAAAGTGTGAGATTTCGAGCAAACAGTTTGCCATTTATTTTCGCCCGAAGGATAGCATAGCTCAAGTCTTGGGATTTTCAAATAGATTGTTGAACGCACAACAAGTCCAAACTTCCGATTTGCCGGTCAGCATAACCAAAGTGAGAACCATTCACATTAATAGCAACGTTACTGCTGGAGCTCTCTACAACGACAGACCATCACATACGATCTACGAGTTTGCAGTTGCAGTCGATCCTGGTTACGCCATAGACGAGACTCCCAGAAATCTAATCTATCTACCTATAGTCAGCAGGCGGAAATTGCCCAACATTACACTCCAGATTCTAGACCAAGATTTCAGGCAGGTGAATTTTAGAGGTGAAGAAATCATCATAAGATTGGAATTGAAGAAACTCGCAAGATGGTACTAGTGTTTGATTACTCCTATAAATCAGATAATATACCATCATCAGCAACATCATCAGCACCAGTTCTCTCGACACCGTACACCAAAGCAGTCGTGTCTTCGAAGAGCAGCAACAGAAAAACATTGACATTATCCAGTGTCCTGTTTCTGAAATCACTCAAAGACTACAATGTTGTTAGCACCTGTGTTCGACGTTTTCCGCAAACCCAGATTCGACGAAAGCATCACTAAAGTGGAATGGCGTACCTATTATCCATATGTGAAATCATTCGAGAACAATGATGTCATCGATATAACGGTTAATCAAGCAGATTCGTGGTTGGCCATGTTTGAAGGCATCATTACCATCAAGGGTAAATTGAAGGTGACCGGTGGTGGTACTGGTACATTAACCCACAATGCTGGAGCTTATCTCTTTGATTCCTGCACCTATGAATTATGTAATAAAGAATTGGACACTGTCAGATATCCTGGAATAACGAATACTGTGCGAGGATACTTGTGTTATACACCTGAAGACTCACGTCATCTAGCCATAGCAGGCTGGAACTATCCCAATGCTCCGATCCTCAACACCGATGGTACGTTCAGCATGAACATTCCACTGAAACATTTGGTTTCCATCTTCAATGATCATCAAGTGGCAACGTGGGGCAAGCAGTCAATCCGTTTAGTGAGAGCTCGCAATGATGCCAACAGTGTGAAGGTTGTCGAGAGAGCGAATACTGCTTTGCCAGGATCTCCTCAGGCTCAAAGTATTGCTAAAATAACGATAGAAAGCATTAATTTGAAAGTGCCACATCTCACACCCAACGATGACATAAAGTTGCAGCTGTTGACACGTATCAAAGCAGATGAGCCTTTGATGATACCGTTTCGCCGATGGGAATTGCACGAGCTACCAGCACTCACACAAGGATCTACCATAGAAATCTGGTCCGTCAAGACGTGTTCTGCATTGGACAGTCCAAGATATGTTATAGTATTTTTCCAAACGAAAAAAGCCGATAGTTTGCATGAAGACGTCACCTTGTTCGATAATGCCAACATCAAATCCATACGATTGGCTCTGAATAGCGACTATTATCCGCAAGAACGAATGCTATTGGACTTTTCCCGAGACCAATATGCCGACGCCCACTTCAACTATACAGAGTTCAACAAGAGCTACCATAACTGTCAAGAAAAGCGCTCTCTAGTAAACTTTGCCGAATTCAAATCCCGACCAATGTTTGTTATCGATTGCTCGAGGCGCCATCTGGGTCTAAAGTCGTCCACAGTTGACATAAAGTTTGACATTGAAGCGACTACAGGCTTCCCTCCCGACACCAAAGCCTATTGCATCATCATTCACGATCAAATCATGGAACATCTCCCACTCAGCGAAATCGTTCGAAATATTGCCTAGTTAGGTGTTGCTGCATCAGTCAGACGTCAGTTTGCTTCGAAGAGTCATGGAGATCGCACTGGTTGACATTCAAGGGTTCATGGTTGATGGTGAATTCATTCCAAAGGAAATGACCATTCGCATTGGCAAAAAGACGAGTCATTTTGTAACGTTTTCATTTGTTAATATAACCTGCCTATATCAAACGTTACCTTTTTCATGGTATTTTTTACTAAAACACTAGAGAAACTCTGTAGATATACGCTGTCGAATTTATAAACCTTTATTGATAAATTCAGTTGACATAGTTCAGAATTTAACATCTAATATTAAAGCGCCCTGTATATCACTTCTCATCTTGTATCCAACAGAACGCTCACAGGTAGTAAACTGAAACAAAAAGGATTGATGAATTAGGCAGTAATATAATAGAACTAGAAAACAAACACAAACATATATTAATAAATTCTAGGTACTTGAATAAACCTTACCTTTCTCGTTTGAATACACAGTGTTGTCTTCTTCGAATACACACTGTTTTCTATAGTCTACTTGATTTCAATGATGCAGGCACTGAAAATAAACAAGGTAACCATTAGAATGTCACTCAACCATATTATAAAAAGCAAATATAGGTTTTATTAGAAAACTGTTTGCACCTACCTCTATTGTAAATAAATTGTACATACTGTAGAATCGAATGGGCCTGGGTATTTTTAAGTGATCCATTTATTTTCGTTTTGTTTTGAAATAAAATCATCCAATGTTTACGTCTTGGTTATGGTTTACCAATTCTTCGTTATAAGCCACTGTCACTCTTTTCTTGCTTCGATACATTCTTATTCTTCGTTCGCTATGACATCAATTTCCAATCAGCACGAGACCTTTTGGGTCTATTGTTATGTTCGTGAGTATCTAGCTCGAGACGGAGCATAGTCGTATGGTTCAAGGTCACATCACCAACAGCCTCAGTGTACAGGTGCAATTAGAAATACTGCAACGAGACATTTCATTCGTCGATAGTTTCGATCGTTGGTTCCAATTCCAACTTTTGATGTTCCGTGATATTGATGATTTTTGACAAGTTCAATGTCTGGGTCAAGTTCAATGTCAGGGTCAAGTTCTCTTTTCCGGAGAGGTCATTTTTGGGCCATTTTGCTGCTGGCTGTTTCACGTGTTGGCTCGTCAGGCTCCTGGGAGATCCTGAAATTTTGCATAGGCACCTAGCCTTACCTAGGAAAAATTATGTTTCGGCGTGATGGTAAGATTTCAAACTATCTTTTTAATATCGTTGTACAATTTTTAATCGTATTCAGGATGGAGGTCTCTATTGGAGAATTTTTCGAGACACGTGCTCGAAGTAGTACCTTTTTTTGATGGACACCCTTGCTGCTCCACCGGTCATCCTGGAACTCCTGGAAGTCATGCATCCATCTCTAATTTCGATTTGGTAAAACCCTCTATAACCCAGAGGTGAGTTTTTTATTTTATTCACGACCAGAGTTAGCTCTCATTTTTTTTGAGATCAGGTTCTGATACCTACCTAATCAATTTTAGGGTTTTACATATGGGCTTATTCTATACCCTGTCCGGGTTTGATTTGGCTGATATGGCTGTACGAGGGCCATCCAAATTCCTCCTGTGGTAGGCTGACCACATATCACCATCACCTTCAAGCAGTCTCCAATTTTCATGGTTTTGCTGTCTACTAGCTTCAAAGATGTGCAGTATCATAGTCTAGCAGTTTTGCAGTCTCCTAGTCTACTATAGTCTACAAGTTTCTACCAGTCTACTGTCCCCTTCAGCTTTCTACCTGATGATGAACAAAACCATGACGTCATCATTGGATAATATCAGGTTTTTTTAGATATAAGTTTCATTAAAGTCAGAATAATCAAGGTACAAAGATATACTCATAACTACATCTCAGATTTCGAAAGTGCACTTGAAATGTTCAAGCCCTATTTGAAATTTCCAATATCCTAAATACTAGCTTACAACCGGCAATTTAACAGTATAATATATCCCCATAAAATTCATGAATTTTTAGGACATTTCCTTGAAGTTTACAAATATTCAATAACAACTAATATAATATTCAAAGTGGGTTTCTTTTTAGAATTTGAACTAGACTGTCAATGAAGTAATTTCATCATATTAATAGGGTACCTATATCAATTTGAAACATATGAGAATAATATAAATAATATCTACCTCTTTGTACCTACTATTTGTAAATAATCTCATGACTGATTTTTCATTAAATTGTATATACCTACCTATTCCACAGATTTTTAACTTTCTACTGACATCTCTCTCTCAATCCATATATTACAGGTTTCTGTTTCTTCCTAGATGAACAACTATCTGAAAGAACCAGTGGCGTCCATTAAAATATAAATTTGACATTTTTTATATTAAATTGATAATTTTGGAACTTTTCTGTAAATTCAACTTTGTGATCTATCAGGATAGCAAATTCAAAAATCCACGCCCATATGCCGCCGATGAAAAGCTGCCGGCGCAGTGTAATTGTATAATATACGTTACACTAAAATGGCGCCCTTTTAACGTGTCAATTTGCTTATCCACAGTTGTGCTAAATATTTTTTTTCTTCAATATTTCAGATTAATAGTCCTAGTACTATTTTCAAAATAAAGAGAGATTTCAGTGGAAATAACAAAAACTTTTGGAAGTATGGTTAGTTTTTGAAAAAAAATTAGCAAAATTTTCTCAAAATTCACAAAACTGCAAACTGGTGACTGCTTGAACAATTTTTTTTTAGAGATTATTTTTTATTCATATTTTGGCTATTATCACAGGTTTTGCATCAATTATATTTGAAAACAGCAGTTTTCAAATGTTTTTTCTTTTTAAAGGATTTGATAATATGCAAACTTGTCAGAAAATAGTCAAAAGTTTTTGAGTACAATTTCAAATTTTGAGTTTGATAAGACACTATAAACAGTGTCAACAATTTTGAATTTTCATTTTTTGCTTGAAGAAAGCTAAATTTTGTTGAAATTTCCATAGAGGAAATGATTATTCGCCTATAGTGGGCATACATATTGTATGGCATATATTTTTAGTTCTATTATTTCCATTACTGGAAACATTTTGCTTGCCTCAACAAAGGTATAATAATTATTATAATGCTGATTGATATTGACTGAGTTCAGGGTGACGATTCTGACTCATCAATTTTGAGTTACTTATATTGAGTTTTTTGATTTTGACAAATTTCAATACTGATCTGCTTAGATATTGAAATATCGAGGGAATTTTCATACTGTTGAAAACCCTTATTTGATTTTTGAATAATATATAGATGAATTTTTGTTCTTCTGAAGTACAGGCAGATACTGCCTAATGAATTTTTGGTAACTAATTTTGAATTTATATACAGGGTGATTCCCTGATTTTGATGTTGAAGTATTACCTATACTTGGCAATTATTTAATTTTGAATTTATATACAGGGTGATTCCCTGATTTTGATATTGAAGTATTACCTATACAATACATGGTAATCAATTGATTTTTAATTAATATACAGGGTGATTCCCTGATTTCAATTTATTGGGTGATTCCCTAAACTTTGATATACAAGGTGTTTCCTTGTGTTTTTGGCTCTGATGTATTACCTATGAATGGTAATCATTTATTTATTGATTAATATACAGGGTGATTCCCAAATTTGATTATTAGAATAAAACTGACATTTAATCATTTTGGTTCAGTATACACATACAAGGTGATTCTACTTATTGGCATACAGGGTGAGAGAGTTTTATACAGAGTGTTTTTTTTGAAATTTAAATAATTTTGTGACATTTTATCATCATTATGAATCCTGAGAAATTCCAAGTCAACCATCTATTGGATTACGAACTTGAATATGAGCTTTCTATTCGTAAAGTTAAATCGGTCAGAACTGTTGTTGAGAAAAGAAAAATTTTGAAAAAACTTCTGGAAAAGGAACAAGTGAGATCAGATGCTACTGTAGTTTTGACGTCGTACCCTTTTGATTGTGAAAAAGAACAAAATGAAATAAACAATACTTTCATGCAGATAGCTGCTAATATTATTGATTTCGCGGATATTGGAGATCCAAATGATAATTTATATCAAAGAACTATTTCAAGGATAATTCATGTAACAAACAGAGTTTGCAGAATAGAACAATTTCTCACAATTGAAGGATTGATACCACAAAATAAGAAAAAGGAGTTGACAACTTTTCAATCAGAAGGATATGCAACGTGTTTAGCATTGGAAGCTGACCTAACTGCAAATATAAAAACCTCGAATACTTCAGTTTTTAATAACAATAATACAACACCACCAGTGATTAACGTTGCACCTCCTATAATTAATTGCTCCAGATCTGCAGCTCCTATTTCAAGTTGGGGAATTAAATTCAATGGAGATCCCAAAACAGTTTATGATTTTTTGGAGAAAGTTACAGAATTAGCTCAATCACGTAAAGTGTCCGAACAAAATTTATTCGAATCTGCAGTCGAACTTTTTGAGGGTGACGCATTTGTTTGGTTCCGAAGCATTAAGTCTCAAGTACAAGATTGGTGCTCACTTGTTACTTTTCTAAAAAGGGATTTTTTACATTCGACGGCTGACGAGGATATCTGGGAGCAGGTTAAGAAAAGGAAACAAAAGCGAAATGAATCAGTTGCTATTTTCATTGCTCATATGGAAGCACTCTTTAGTAGACTTTCTCAAAGTCCTGCTGAAGTTACTAAAGTAAAGTACATGCGACAAAATCTTTTGCCTGAATTCATAAGTCAATTAGCTCTTCTTGACATCGCTACAGTTTCTTCATTTTCTAGCTACTGTCGAAAATTGGAAGAAGCAAATTTT